TTGCCGATTGTGAATTCGCATTGCTATACGACATGTCTCGGTATTTATACATCCAACATTCATGTATTTAGTTATGATGTTTCTTTTATAAGTACGGTTCGATACTGTGTTATGTCTTATCGTTTGTGGTTTGACTATTCTGTATTTTCGGTACATTTCACAAATGTCTTATTTGTCAGTATAGCGAGTTAATTTTCATTTTCCATGGATAAAGTATTGTGTTAGTCCAAATAGTTATGACGTCGTCACAGCATTAATTTAAAATAGCCTTTCAAGACCCGTCATAATCATGATAATTATTTGGACTAGTAATTTGAAAGTAATTGTGAATTTTTGGATCGCGTTTCATATAATTGTCATTTCAGCGATAATTTTTATCATTGCCATATAAGCGGGAGGTTTTGCTAGCCAGAAAACCAGGTTCAATCCACCATTTTTTCTTAAAATGTCCTGTACCAAGTCAGGAATATGGCAGTTGTTATCAAAGTCCGTTTCTATGTATGTTGGCGTTTGTTTTTGTTGCAGTTCAGTGTTTCTGTTGTTCCATTGTTTTCCTCTTACAGTTGATGTATTTCCCTCGGTTTTAGTTTGTAACCCGGATTTGTTTTCTCTTAATCGATTTATGACTTTTGAACAGCGGTATACTACTGCTGCCTTTATAATGGAATTTGATGCGACTGTCATACAAGTGAGAGGTTAAGCTAGCTTTAAAACCAGGTTCAAGCCACCATTTTCTACATAAGAAAACGCCTGTACCAAGTCAGGAATATGACAGTTGGTATCCATTCGTTCGATGTGTTTTTGAGCTTTTGATTTTGCCATTTGATTGAGGACTTTCCTTTTTGAATTTTCCTCGGAGTTCAATATTTTTGTGATTTTACTTTATTGTTTGGTATATGGAATGATTGCAATTCAGGTATAAATGTCTGTCTGGCTGGTTTAATATGACATTGACCTCAATTTAATGGCTCATTGGTCAATGTTAAAAAGTAAATATGCAATATAATCATCATCTTTGGATCATCTCTTTTGTCCGAAAATTAAGCAAACACATTTTCCCATTGTTGTTATACTCTTCACATTTACTATTTTCTTGCAAGATAGTTCTAAATGTCAGTGATTGACCAAACCATTGAAGAAATAAGATAGAATGGCGTAAAAATTTAACATTTTTTTTTACTATTGTAAATTTAAAAACTGTGAAGATTTAATTATTGCAAAATTGGTGACGGAAAAGGTATCTAAAATAAATAAACTGTTATCGCAGAGATATGTCTCTCCTTTTTGTAATTTTGAAAATGCAAATGTTGAAATTAAAATAGCAATACTTTAACATGTAAGTTATGCAAATATTCAAAGTCGATGAACCATGACTGAAAGTACATGGCTGAACAATCTCCATGGAAATGAGATGTGCCAATGTTAATACAACTGCAAACCAAATACCATTGACTAATATTAAGTCGTTCCCTTTAAACAAACTTAAACACAAACATTAACTTGTAAACTATGTAAAAGGTTCAAAGTCAATGAACCATGATGAGGGGGTGGGGCTTTATAATCTCCATGGAAATAAGACTTGCAAATGCCAATAAATTTGCATACCAAATATCATTGACATAACATTAGCAGTTCATCTTAAACTGATCTAATCACAAACTAATACATATAAACTAAGCAAATGTTTCAAACTGAGGGGGCGGGGCCAAATATTCTCCATGGAAATGAGATGTGCTAATGCTTATACAACTGAATATCAATTAACATTGGCCTATCTAATGGTTCCCCTTGAACTGACCTAATCACAAACTAATATATGTAAACTAAGCAAAATTTTCAAAGTCAATAGACCATGACTAAGTGGCGGGAGCTAAATAATCTTTATGGAAATGAGATGTGCCAATGCTTATACAACTGCATACAAAATATCATTGACCTACCACTTGTGGTTCACCATTAACTAGACCTAATCACAAACTAATACATTTTTGACGCCGCCGCCGCCGCCGTCGTCGTCGTCGTCGTCGTCGCCGACACCGGAAACAGCATACCTTTGTCTCGCTTTTTTATTTTAAATTTTGATAGCATTATCTGTATGCAGCATTTACTGAATTCATATATGTTCATTTTTTAAATAAACTTGACACAGAGATATGTCTCGCCTGTTGGTATTAAAAGACAATCCGATGGTCAGCAACATTGCTAATAATCTAAAGTTGTTGGACCATTAACTAGGGGACAAGGCCTCGAAATAGTCATCCAACTAATATGAACTGATAGTAATGCATCTTTATAGAAAATATCATTGATCTATCACAAGTAGTTTCTATCAAAATGAATTAAGCAGAAAACTTAATATTGAAAATTGCTAATCAATTGAAAATCCCTGGACCATGACCTAGGGGGCAGGGCTTGAAAATTCGTTGTCAAAATGATATGTACTGATAGTAATGTAACTTTAAAGAAAGTATCATTGATCTATCACAAGTGTTTCCTTTAAAATTAACTTAAGCAGAAAATTTAACAATTGCTAAACAACAATTTTCGTCGCAGGTGAGATAAAAATCTCAGTATCATATGCACGCAAAAAATTACTAAATGTACAGTATTTCATCTTCGCTAGCCAAGGTTTACGATCCACTTCCCTCCTCTCCACCCTTGGCGGATTGAGATAGAATTTCGGAGACACAAGGTAATGATTTTCATTGGTTGCAGTCGAAACTCGCTGCATCCAATCAAAAAGCGCCTATAACATGATCCCGTGTAAATGTAGAAAGTGTATGTAAACAATTGCCACGTGCTTATTGTGCAACAAGTCTTTACATCCCTAAACATACGACTATATTTAGTGACAATTTGAATGTTTTTAATCAACTAATAGAAGTTCCTGTGTATGTTTCTTGCACAAATGCATGAATGTCAACGTATATTTTCGTTTCCTGCTTTACCAAGTGTGTAGAATCTAGACGCTACCGGGTTTTTACCTCCAAATTGAAGAGTTCAAGTGCTACCATTGGTCAAGAATAATGTATTCGGAATGGGCGTGACTTTAATCTACCGATAGATGGCGCAACATTGTTATCACAAATGTTGGCTTAATCTGCCAAGGGTGGAGGAGGAAAGTGGATCGTAACCCTTGGCTAGCGAAGATGACAGTATTTAAACTAACAGGATATATTGTAAGGTTGATGTTACATTCTGTAATGCAATTTACAGGGATATTTTTTGCATTTCGTTTAAACATCATCTTCATTTGTCAATGTTTGAAGATAAAATATGCATTCTTCCGGATTTTTATGGCTCTTTTTTTTTTGCACTCCTACTTCCTCCACTACAAAATGATATTAAAACTGAAAAATTGTGGAAAAATGGTGTAAAAAACCAAATTAATAAATCAATCAATCATTCAGCTACTCAACTAGTAACTCTGTTTATGCTCAATTTTAACATTCTATAGGACAGAAATGTAGGATGGTTTTGCTATTTATCTAGAACACCAGTCAGAAATATATGGCTTATAGATGGCTATCTTCTTGTCTGTAAAACATTTTTTAAATTTTGGATTTACAGATTTGATCTGTAAGAAACCTCAAGTAAGTGTTATTTTAATTTTGGTATCCTGTAAAGAGCTAGTGCTAGTGCCTTCTCTTTATGCTATTAAGTTTTACGCAGCTATACAAATGTTATGTTTTGAAGATGGCTATTTAAATAACAATAAAAAGTGGTAGCAGTATGATAGGATGTAATAAAGACAACAATTTTGAAAAATAGTTTAAAATTCAAAAACTATGACAACACAATTGGAAAAGTCAACATTTTTTATTTGCACCATGCACTTCTTATGTAATGAGAAACTTCACCAATATTTAGGAATATGTTAATAAAACATAAATTGTGTCCTGTTACAGTCATAAATTTGAAAATGAAATATTTTGAGTATGGTTTAAAAGTAAACAGAATACTTCCAATATTTAATATGTTAAGGGAGAATGAACATACTTCACCCCACACAGATGTCAAATGTTCATAGTATTTCTTTAAACCAACATGAAACAGAAGTTTTGGATTCCGTGTTACATCTTTTAGCATTTAGAAATTGAAGGGCCTTTATCTCCGGAATTAATATCCAGTGGCCATTTCATTTTCAGAGTAGGTTTAATTTTTCTGAATAGACAGTTTAAGATTTTAAAAAAAAATTCATGATAGTAAATTGTGACCCATATATGCATATAAAAAACACATTGCGACTCCATTATATAATACAATGAAATTTTTTTCCCCTCTTTGCTTATAAAATATTAATATACACTGTAAAATGCAATAGGCACATAATGCATGTAACGAAAGATTCAAACAAAATAAACAATGAAGGCTTATTTCTGACCAGTCTATAAATGCTGCTTCCATTGTAAGTGTACCATGTGTAACATTATTAATATCATAAAATAAAGGCATTGTAATATTTGGTAAAGTACGACATTGTACTGAGAAATGGACATCATTCGTATAAGTAACATTATAGGCTAAACTTGTACATGAGATATTTGCAGATCTAAATTCTGAACAATTTATAGTGTTTATATTCAGTATATTTATATCGTTAAAAGAATGAATATTGTCGAGTTTTAGGTTAGTTTTATCTATGGTATTATAACCAAGAAATATGATCAAACAAATTATTGCAAGGCACGAAAAAATTTTACAACAATTTACCCAGCTTTTCAAACAAATACAAATGTAATAACATGGTAGATATGGAATCGTTTTTATAAGTGCCGAACTCGTTATAACAATGTAAATCATTAAATACATAACCCTGTATATGATTTTTATGTAAACAAATGGAGCAAATGATATGAAAAAAACACATCCTAGTAGTATCATTACTACAAACAAAAACAAAAATCGCCGAAGGAGATCTGAATATCTCATGTTAAACGTTATTGATAATAACCAAAGAAGTACAATAGTAAGTAGTACAACATTTATGCTTCTCGTCACTAGCACCAAGGTAATATTACTAGATTCTGCATCTTGTCCAATGCAAAATATTGCTGTTTGACCTTCCTTTCTAATAACAGAGTCAAGATATTTAGATAGGCCAAAAGTAACACTTATTAGGGAGACCATTGATACAACAAATACTGTATAAGTTTTCTTAATTGATTGTTTATATTTTGCAATATTGTTTATGTATTTGATTGTATCACAACTGCTTTTCATTAATTCTAATGCTGAAGTGCCACAATCATTGAATAAATAAGGATTGGCCCCATTCTCTAGCAACGTTTCTATACACTCACTGCTTCGCTCTTTTAAAAGGCATCTGTTTATAACCGAATGTAAGGGTGTATTGCCCTCCCTGTCTGGCATGTTTACAATGTTACGACCAATATTTCTAAAAGAAGTTCGAAGAGTAATGTTAAAGCACATGGTACTGAAAGCTGACATCTGTGTTTTTTCATATTTTTCATAAACTCTCTCGTCCTCTGTGTTTCGACTGATTTCCAAATAATTGTTCTGAAAATTATGAGTGAGTAATAATTTTGCTGCACTTGCACTCTTAATGTAATGTAGAGGGGTTCTATCGAAAACATCACGAACATTTACTTCAGCTTTATTACGAAGCAGAAGAGATAATAACTCGATATTATTGTTTATTACTGCTAGATGGACAGCAGTAAGTCCATTATGGTCAACTATGCTTACTTTAGGCGTAGGTTTTCTGCAAAAATGTTCTCTTTGGTCAACTAAAATCTTCAAAGCTTCTTCATTATTTGATAATACAGCGTAATGAAGGATTGTCCATCCGCTTTTTGTTTTGAAATCAATATTCCCAGATCGAATATTTGATCTCAATTTTTCTAAGTCGTTATGTCGGACTGCTATATGAAGCTCGGTCTGGTTCAAATCATATTCAAGAATTAAACTAGTTAATTCGCGTTTGTTTGAAGTGACAGTAATTGGTATATTCATTGAAAACCATCCTCGTAGGTTTACCTGTGCTCTATGTTCTAACAGTAAGCGTACCATATCAGAGTTACCAGATTTAACTGCTATATATAAAGGTGTTTCCCAAAATTCGGAAAAGCAGTTAACGTCTGCACCAGAACTAATTAATTCTTTAACAATATCGAGGCTACCGCCAAGAACAGCTAGAGGAAAGAAGGACTTTACTAAGGGATTGGATCTATAATCTCTACCAAGCATCCGTTTATGTTCCAAAGGTGTCATCTTGTTCCATGCATATTGAAAGAATTCATAGCAGCCAAAGACCACAATCCAGTGCATAAGTGTACATCTCCCATCTATAGCTTCTATAACTCGACTAATGGCATCATTGGTATCAATCAATTCTTTGTTGGATAAAAGTGTTACCTTTTTCTTGTTACTGACTGACTGGTCCGTAACAATGGGATCTATATGTCTAGAACTAAAGCTGAAAATGCGTTCGGAACTAACCGTCTTCAAAAAAGAATTTTTTGATTCCAGTATCCTTTGATTATTTTCCAAATATGTTCCAAATAAACCGATAAAATTTTTATTCTTGAAAAGGTGACTCATCAACAAACTGGAAAATTTCCCTCTTGATAATTCATTCCACAGTCTATTAAATAACGGTTTTAAATGATCCTCATTTAATTCATCTTCCTGAATGACCACAGTAATTTCACCAACATTTTCATTCATGTTTTCAACGGTATGAATTCTGAATCGATCTCTTATAATCAAGATATTACAATCTGACAACATTACTTTGGTATGAAAGGTATAGAAATGACAAACGACAGTTTCTTCAAGAGCATCATGAATAAACCGGAAACTGTGTTTTTCCGTCGTGAAATAAGATCCTATAGCAGAAAGAGCGCTATCCTCAAGTTCTTTCTTCGACATATTTCTTTGAAGTCCGCAAGTTTGCATTATTCTGTTTATTATTGCATCTTCATTTGAATCAATATAAAACAGCATTCTACTAAATGAACCATTAAACAACATACAAAGCACCAAAATGCAATATAGTTTCTTATTTTCATTACTCATTTTATCAAGTTCCTCGTTCAACAGTAAAAAAGGTTGTCTAAAGAATGCTATTCTTTTTATGAACCTTTCTTCATTGTTTGAAACCAATTTGCAAAGAAGAGGAAATGCATAATTGGTTTCACACATGATCTCAACCTCCTCTGTTTTAATTTCCTTTTCTAAGTCATTTCTCTTAAGATGTTTAATCAATATTTCCTGCTTTTCCTCCTTCGAGAGGGCATTAGACGCGAGATCTAGATTGATGACTACTTTGTTTAAGATTGTTGATGCAGTTTCAAATCTTTTATGGAGAGCTATTTGTGATCTCAGTGTACACAATATTTTGTTTGAGCCTACTTCGGTTTCCAAGCAGCTTATCAATTTTTCGTTTATTCTTTCCCATTTAGACAACAGTGTCGGACTTATATCGTATTTACCAAGTACATCATCAATAAGAAATACTTGTTTTTTATTTGTTTTGTATTTGATTATATCCTCGGGAAACTCTATGGGAACTATTTCAAATCCTTCTGGTTTAAGTTTTAATGCGATATGTCGGATAGTGGCTGTCTTTCCTAGTCCTGAATTTGCTGTCACCAAAATACAACTACAATCCTGTACTGTATCATAAACTAGTTCCGATCCAACTGTCTCGTAAAAGGATTCGTCCTCTTTTCGCCATTTTTCTACCAAAGTTGCATTTGCTTCTGTAAGGATTCATATATATATATATATATAATAATATTTCTTATGGACTAACAATTTAACAGCAAGGAAGGGGTACGGTTTTTTTTTTTAATTGGTTTGAAATGTTTTTTTTTTAAATTTTTTTCAACCGATGGACAATAGATATATATGTTATAAAGCATCTAGTGGGTTTTTCCAAGCAACTCTTTGATTTAATTTTTTTTCATGGAATCAGAATTTTTTATCCATAAAAACATACCCCCCTCTCTCTTTTTAAGTTATTTATTTTCACTCTTAATAAGGATATATTAGGTTATGTTTGATAAGGAATACAATTTTGTCTTGCAACATACCAACTACGGACCCCTTAGAGAGTTTTTGCAATGATTCTTTAACATGAAGAGGGCGTGGCATTCTCTACACGAAGGCGTCGGATCTAACGTTTTTAATTTGACCGGACATGGCTACGTATTTATACATCTAAACAGAAGCCAAACTTTAGCAAGGATTTTACTGCCAAAACGGAAGAAGTCCGTAGGATGACCGTATTTATATACCCCAGTCAACCTAAGGGTCATTACAGCTTGATCGTGTTGAAATTTAAAATTATTTCATATAGGGGCATACTCAAGTAATGAAAGGAAACATTAAAATGTGTTCTTTTCCACATTATCAAGAGGCAAACCTCGGGATGAAAAATGTGAAAAAATCAACAACTTTAGTATTCAAGGTTTCCTAAGGTTATTGAACGAGTAACAATCAACGTTTGACTGTTTCCGCATTATAAAGGGTAATAAATGTGAAAACGACACACGGGAAATTCTACGAATCTAAAAATGTGTACTGGATTCGTACTAAAAAGATGACTTTTTACTGTCATATACACAAATCATAATTAAATAATAAAAGAATAAGGATATATACAAAGGGAAAGATACCAATAAAGTAGTCTAGAAAGGCGACCTCACCATAACGACAAGAAACAAGCATACTGCCGATCTTGCCTGTCCAGGATTATGTCCCTCAGCATTGGAACATTGGATGAGTCTTTAGTTTTCTATGTTGTGTCATCTGTACTATTATTTGTCTATTTGTCTTTTATATTTTTGGCCATGGCGTTGTCAGTTTGTTTTCGATCTATGACTGTCCCTCTGGTATCTTTCGTCCCTCTCTTATATGAAATAAAAAGGACCTAAAAAAAATAGCCAAATCCATCTAAGGTCAACTTTGCCTGAGGGAGTTGTAACCGTTTTTTTTTTTATAATATCAAAATTTATTAACGGACAATTCTGGAAAGATTTGTTAGGAATTAATTAGTTAGGAATGAATGAGTAAGTCATTAGTGCGTGAAACTGATTTTTTTGAAAACAACTTTCTATATTCATAGGATCACAACTTCAGTAAAAATCGATCAAGTAGAAAAAAACACTCAAACTTAATCAGAAAAAATTAAAATAACAAATATACCGAACTCCAAGGAAAATTCAAAACGAAAAGTCCTTTATCAAATGGCAAAATAAAAAGATCAAACATATCAAACGAATGAAAAACAACTGTCATATTTCTGACTTGGTACAGGCATATGATTTGATTATAATATTTCAATTACATGTATCGCTATTTTCTAAAAAAAAATCCTTTGATCTTTCTGCATGATAATTTTCAAGCTCACGCTACTCAAGTGATATGGGTTTTCTTCGATTGATTAGAAAGAGAATACCGGACGTCATAAGCCTACGTCAGTGACGTTAAATAGGAAAATTGCGATACACAGATTATCAATGATCTTTCAAACGGTAGTCCTCCGATGAGATTGTACTCGAAATACACCATCTCGTTTGAAAGAACATCGATAATTAAAGGTTTGAGTGAGAATGGGATATCGCTTGACATCAACTCGAGTTATTCAATTTCAATATAATAATAAACGAGCCTTGTGTGAGTTTAATATTACTATTTAAATTAAAGAACGGATATAATTGACAATTCTTGAGAGCTGTTCAACCTATTTCTCTTATGGTAAACATTCTCATTGTAATAATGAAAATACTGATGGATTCAGCCGAGGATTATACCAGGCAACGGGTTAAACGCAAGAAAGAAGACGTTAATACTCTTTCCGAATGGATTAAGGCTGTGAGGTCGTTAATACAAATCATTCTTAAGAAACTGAATGGGTCTATTAATACCTATGCTACATCAATCTTTTAAGACCCAAATGCTGCTAAACACTTGTCCTACCTCCATGACAAATATGTTGTTGTCCCCGCAGATAAAGCCCCAAACAACATCGTGTTTGTGTGTAAATCACATTACATAAACTGCTTGATAAATGAATTTGGTATTGACAATTCATTTGGAAACTCAACATATAACCCAACAACAATTACTAAAGAGGAAATCCTGGATAATCATAGGTCTGTTCTATGTTCCTTTGGAATTTCAACCGAAGAGGAAGAACTGGATCTTCCATCACTGTATTGGATACCTAAACTACATAAGTGTCCTTACAAACAACGGTATATTGCTGGGTCTTCCAAGTGCTCCACAAAACATCTTTCAAATTATATACATCAATTTTATCAGCAATCAAAGCCGGGCTTCAAAGTTATTGTGAAACTATCTATCTACCTATTCTAGAGGTGGCGTGAATCAGATGTGGATACTAAAAAAATTCAAAGATCTTTTAGAGTACATACAATCTAAGACTCTTTCATCATGCAATAGTATTAAAACATTTGACTTTTCTACACTTTACACAAGTATTTCCCATTCTAAACTAAAAGAAAGAGTTGGACCTGCTTTGTTTCATAAAAAAAGAATGGCCAACGAAGATACAAGTTTCTGGTCTTAGGGAGGGATAATTCATACTTTGTAAAAATCACTCTGATTCTAACAAAAAAATCTCTGAAACTGACATTAACAAGATGCTTGATTTCTTGATTGACAACATATTTGTTACGTTTGGAGGACGTGTTTTTCAACAAACAAATCGGCATTCCCATGGGAACCCTCTTCTTGCCGACTTGTTCCTTTATTCTTACAGGAACTTTGTAGGAAGAAAGAAAAGAAGTTAGCAGTATCCTTTAACTTTACTTTCCGCTAAATAGATGATGTTCTCTCACTAAATAATTCAAAATTTGGTGACTATGTTGAACGCATCTATCCCATCGAACTTGAGATAAAGGATACGTTGTGTTTTGTGTACTATTCTTTGTCTGTTGGTCTTTTTTCTTTTTTAGCCATGGCGTTGTCAGTTTTTTTCGACTTACGAGTTTGGATGTCCCTTTGGTATCTTTCGCCCCCTCTATAACAATTCCCCGATTTTTTTATCTAGTCTGGTGCACTGGCATACCAGTATGACGTTATATATTTTGTCCCGGCATCAAGCTTTAACATAAAACATTTTAAAACTTTTAATACGCTTCATAATGTAATGAAATTATACAAAACGAAGATTTTCCAATATAAATTGTGAGTGTTTTGTATATTATTGAAGAAATCGCATATCTCCGTTCCCATTGGCGACATGTACATCATTTTTAACCTCTGCAATTCATCAATGACTTAACGAATAGCCAATGAAAATGTCGTTTCATGATGCTAGATCAGCCAGTCAAATTAAGCTAATTTTTCGTACTGCTAGGAGTGTCATACGAGAAATATATATTCATGCGTGAAACTGATAACAGGCCACAACCATAAGAGAATCTATAAATATCTAATCAATTTATTAGGGCATAAACGTCAAACGTACAAAAACGTCCACAAAACTCATTCAACTGTTACAAGGTAACGTATATACCAAATATTTAATCAAATGATTAAGGCATAATACGTAATAGTAGAAAACATATTTTAAATTAATTTCCTATGTCTGAGGGCCACGGCATCCGCATTAATTACACTTTTCTAAAATCTGTTTATCATATGACTTTATACCAACATGCAAGTATCAATTGCATGTTGGTATAAAGTCATATGATACTTGCATGTTGGTATAAAGTCATATGATAAACAGTTTTTAGAAAAGTGTAATTAATGCGGATGCCGTGGCCCTCAGACATAGGAAATTAATTTAAAATATGTTTTCTACTATTACGTGTTATGCCTTAATCATTTGATTAAATATTTGACTTTATACCAACATTCTCAATTGGTTAGATACTTGCATGTTGGTATAAAAACTGTTTATCATATGACTTTATACCAACATGCAAGTATCTAACCAATTGAGAATTTCATCTAGAATGATCACTAGCCTGTAAACATTGTGAGTTCAAATCCCGCATTTGCAGGTGCGTTAGCCTCCAATTTAAATTGACTAAGAATGCCAGTTTTCCTGCTGACCACCGGTGATTCTCTCCGGGCACTTAGGTTTTATCCAACGACACAAACGGACGGTCTTGATATAGCCAAGAGTGCGCTGAAAGTGGCGTTAAACACCAAAAATCAAATAATAAATAAAACCGATGAGCTAAATTGCATCCCCTTTCCAACATACCCTCATTTTTTAATGGCAGTCCAATTTTCTCGCTCTCCATCCTGGTCGACCTACTTTGCAGATGTATTGATTTTTAATTGTTCTCATTCTGAATGAGCATGCAATTTTTGCCTCTAGAAGATAAGCAAGTAGTAATGAGCCCATCTAAGTAATAGATTTATGAGTAATCATAATACGTGTAATAATAAAAGTCCTTTAAACTTACGTGTTACGGGTTGACTAACATACAGACGGAGATCAAACATATCAGCCCCTTTAGGACAAGAACACATTAGTAAATGAATCGATTGAGAAGGTTCCAAAGATTAGATGGAGGGCAAGAATTTCGGACAGGAAAAAAGAGAGTGTGTTTGACAGACTCTATCGAGACTTATCGTTCAGAGAGCTTGACACTCTTCCAACACGGGGCATTGAATTACCGTTCCGATTTGAACCAGGCTATATTAAAACATATTAAAACATTCTGCACCAATCGTTTTCTTTCCATTGTTCTTGCTGGTGGAAGGGGAAGTCCAGGTAACTACATTAATATGCCTCAGTCAACCTGTCATCCAATGTATTGAGCTATTATAGTGATAGATCAGCACACAACAGGATACACAAAGTCATTAACTTAACAAAACCACATTGCACTACAAAAAAAAATAATTGTGGTAAAAAAATGCTGGACTTTAAAAAGGTATTAAACAAGACCAAAACTGGACCTGAACGCCTGCATTCGATTGAGGTAACATATATACTGAAGCATAACTGATCATTTCCTTTCTTTGAGGCCATGGAAACTTTGATTAAATTTTACTTGTACAATGAATGTTGTAAAATTTCAAATTAACGGCAAATTGGAATCGGCTGCACTGCAGATGTTAAAACTGCTTACCCGCACTGCAACTATACATTATAAAGCTGCAGATCAAATATAAAACCATTCCCTTTCATAGAAACTAAGAAAAGTTTGACAAAAGTGTTCTATCAAAAGTCTTTTAGACGGATAGACGGACGGGGTTGAGCGATTATTAGACATGCATTCGCCTTCGGGGACGCTGTAACCATAGGTGACGATTTAAGCTGGTTCTATTGAAAAATTAAAACTAACCTGCAATATTTATTGGAAGATTTGCTTCCCTGTATTGAGAGAAATCATTTTCTATCTGTATTATTTCCTTTTCAAAATTAACGTATTCTTGTTTTAGCTGCTTCAGTTCTGCGTTTGCTAATGCTTTTGCTTGTTCTCCATCAAGATCGTAGTTCAAGATTTCAGTGACCTCGTGTGGTCTTTGACCTTTGTTTAACGATGTCAATGCCTGAAATAAGAGGAATATACAAGCTCATTTCTAAACGGACATTACTACTTAAATATTTTATTACCTAGGTTTTAAGTTTTTGATTTGAAAAGACATTAGCCTAGGCATAAATCGGCTATTGTATTATTCTTGCAGTTGTAATGTTTATGATGAGGAATTTCATAAATTTTATATTTTACGCCATTAGCCGTCAAATTTCATACCGAAACAAAATAGAATGACCTCTCATAAAAAGATAACGTATAGTAAACCTACCCATCTATCATACAATCGTAAGTTAACCAGTTGCCATTTAGTAAAGTATAATGAATCAAATAATTGTTTGTTTCTTATCAGAATTTTTAAAGAGCATTCTATACTTAATTCAAGGTGTACAATGAACATAAATACTGTGAGCTTGTTTTACGAATCTATACAATTACTAGTACTTCACACTGTGTTTCCATCGTCCAACGGCCGTAGCTGTGAGATAAATATTACATCTTCCATGTTCTCAAGACCTGACTTTATCTTGAATCACTTGTACATTAACTGAAGCCTCCCATATATTAAAGTACTCGTTTTCTCTTTATTTCATGTATACAATGTACAGAACAATGATTTGTATCTGAACAAAATAAAAGAAATATGCTCTTTGGTTGGGTTTATGTCTCTTTCACGCATTCTCCGTTTCCAGACTCAATTTATTTTATTTAAAAGTACCTTTTCAACACGAGTCCATTTGTCTGTAAACTCATTGTTATCCATAAAAGTAACTGTCGTATGGGCCAACTGATTTCTGTACCACTTCAGTGTAGCCAAGTCCGCTCCCGGTAACATATCATTCGGATTTGGAAGTTGATCCCAGCCATTGGAGGGTGTTGATAAACCTCCTAGATTACGCAGCAAACATATCATCATTGTCAGGTCAAAGTCCTTGGAAGAGGTAGCTAGAAAACACAATGAGAAAAAGAAAAGAAGGGTCAACTTCCGCGGACATTTGTCTAACTTGTGGCTGTGCCATTTTCAAAACGTTGATCGTATCTTAGAAATAATTACAGTATCACACCGTTAAATAATTTGAGATAGTAATACTATTATGTCGCATTTCTGAACGTGTAGTTTGATTACTTGTACATGTATATGTAACTGATGATATTAAAACTGCAATTTGAAAAAAGTTCGACATATTTCGAATATTTATCAAAATATAGAAAAAGGACATTCTGAACCAACCAAAAAATCTATCGGAAATAACAATCGTCCTTTCTATGTCTTCCTTACCATGGTGTACATTCTGCAATATTTGAACAAAATTGTTTTTAACAGCAATATTAATCACTGAAAATGAAATAAAAGAACAGAGTTCCAATGTCCCCCTCTTTGCACATATTTTATCTATCCAAGGTACAAGGGCAATAACTGAATAAAACATTTGAATAAATATCTTACAGAAATGAAGGCTTCAGAGCAAATGCAATGCGATTTCCGTTATAATTAATATTTCCAAGGGCATAACTCTTTAAGATGTTTGATCATCGCTTATTTTCGAAAGTGTCAAAGACATTGCTGATATAAACCTATGATATAAGTTTCATAAAATTCTGGCAAGAATTGTACACATGAGAGCGCTAACAATGCAATTTTCCATATAATCAATATTTCTATGGGGTATAACTGATTTTAATGATAATTAATCGGCATTGATTTACGAATTTGTCCAAGACATTAATGATATAAACCTATGATATATATTTCATAAAATTCTGGCAAGATTGTACACATGAGAGCGCTAACAATGCAATTTTCCATATAATCAATATTTCTATGGGGTATAACTTTTAAAAAAATAATTGATCGGCATTGATTTTCGAATTTGTCCAAGACATTGATGGTATAAACCTATAATATAGATTTCGAAAAAATCTGGCAAGCATTGTACATATTAGAGCGCTCACAATGCAATTTTCCATATAATTAATATTTCCAAGGGGAATAACTCTTTTAAAAAATAATTGATCGGCACTGATTTTCGAACTCGTCAAAGACATTGCTGATATAAACCTATGATATAAGTTTCATAAAAATCTTGCAAGAATTGTACCCAAGAGAGCGCTAACGATGCAATATTCCATATAATTAATGTTTCCAATGGACATAACTCTTTTAAAAATAATTGATCGGCACTGATTTTCAAATTCGTTTAAGACATTACAATTATAAACCTATGATATAAGTTTCATAAAAATCTGTCAAGAATTGTACACATGTGAGCGCTAACGATGCAATTTTCCATATAATTAATGTTTTCAAGGGGCATAACTCTTTTAAAAATAATTGATCGGCACTGATTTTCGAACTCGTCCAAGACATTGCTGATATAAACCTATGATGCAAGTTTCATAAAAAAATTTGGCAAGAATTGTACACAAGCGAGCGTTAACAAGACCGGACGGACGGTATTTCTATGTCCCCGCAACGCGTTGTTTGGGGGCCAAAAAGTAAAATATTTTTTGGATATATGCCAAATTGCTAGATAATTTTGATTTTTGAAGTTTGACCCCTTGGTATAACAAATTCAAGTGGAATTGGCAGTACTTTCAAATAAAATAGAAGTGTTGTTTTTGTTTTTTTTTTAGTTTGTAAATCATGTTTTTGGAAGAAATACTTCAATGTGATTCCAAGCCTAAATTGGTAATAAGCGGGTAAATACAGTGTACTCTTGCTAAAGATGGCAACCAAATTTAACAACAATGTAAAATTATCAAAAGACAACGTTTTTATTCGATTCTTTTCTGCCAAACAAATACAGCGTTTTCATAATATAAACAATTCACACTCATTGTGCAAATGGCTTGATAGTTAAAACATTGGTAGCTTCTTCTATCATTGAACCATTTTGTGTGCGGCATTAAAACTAATTTGCGTGTATCAAATTGTTCAAACAACTTTTGATCGGGTGCTTTCAATTCTATAACTTGCGCGCACAAAAACGTATAACAAAAATACCGAAAAACTTAATAACTCATCCAAACAAGTTTCGGGCGTGTACACATTTTACTTGTGCACTTAAAACTAAACGTATCAATTAATGCACAATTAACCAATCAAATCCTACTATGTAGTTAATATATGTCCCAATCGCCTGCAATTGTTTCCCCTAGTTGATTTAAGTTTTTATAAAATTCATATATAATTGATGTTAATATTTTTGGAACAAAGTGCTTCATAAACCTATGGAGGCTTGCTGATGTTTGTATTGTAAACTGTTTGTATACAGGTAACTAAAAACTGGGACTGTTTAAGAAGATGTTGTTCGGGTCAACAAAACAATGGTTGTCTTAATTCTAAAAAATTGTTACATTATACTGCTATTGGGAACAAAGATGTTTTTTAAATATGTAAAATTTTCCTGATATTTTAATTTGTAAAGATAAAGATCAGATATTTAAATCGTATTAGTTTTGCCCTTAACTATGGTTTAATCTGCTTTACCAATATTTCAGCTATTTCGTTAATGTGTTTAACTCCACCAACATGTTTTTGTACCTAAATTCCAAAACCAGGAACCTGGAGTCCATTTGATGTATTTGGTTACTGTCAGTCCTTGGTATTGTTCGTTCAATGTTAATAGCCTAAATTCTACCGTTAGTTTTAAATTGTTTCACAATTTGGAATTCCGTGATTATAGGTTACATTATGATATGGTTTGTGCTCACTGTTAAACAGTTACCTGTAAGTGATTATATCCTTTTTCTTTGAACTTTGGTGGATTGTTGGCAATGACGCCACTTTACCTAATTTGTATATTTTACCATTATTAGATCATGACATGATCATATGAAAAGAACCACTTCTGATTCATGGTACAATAACCAAGTTAATTTTTCACATTCACAAATTTGGCTCACTTATACTCCTAAGCAGAATGAGAATTCATTATAAGATCAAAGAGCAAAATCTCTGGAAAAGACGTTTGCTGTATAATTAGAAATATCCATGCATGAAAGTGTTTCCCATTTAGAACAAGAATACGATTACTCCAGTTATCACACGTCACGATATAAGTCATAATAGATACCACCAGTAAAACAATTATCAGTTATGTTAAAAAACAAAGTACCTGTTTAAAATATAAAATACAATGATCTACTGACACATGATAATCAAAAATGTCATTCGATCATTTAGAATCATATCCATGAGGAATTTTACGTTTGTATCATCAAAATAATTTCGAATGAATTATATTACCACAAAAAAGTGTTGCAATTCCTAACAATTCTAACAATTGCTGATGATGCAGGGACCAATATTAAAGTGTATTAAAAAAACCCATCAATCAGCCAAACATTGGGACTGATTTTGAAAGATTTAATTCAGTTATCAACGTAACTACTGATGAGTCAATCCGAGCCCTTCCCATGCATGATGTCTCATGGTGTTATTCTGTGTCCTGGAGCTCTGAGGTATTAAAAGTCAAATTTCAATCTCAATCTCGTATTTAATATTTTTTCCTAGTTATTTTATGGTTTTTCGTCAGAAGTCGGCCGAGTTGACTAAATAAAAACACATAGGTTACAGGTATCGCGTCATGGGTCCTGAGGTTCAGTCGGACTCAACGTACATGTTCCTCTACGACATTTTAATTCCCAGGGAAGACCAACTGACCGTTGCGTAGCAGTGTCATTGTTCGGATACAACTTTTTTTAAATCCAAAGGCTGACTCTATTGCGTCATCTTCCTTACTGGGTTGATTAATGTAATATTAATTTGAACTTATACCGTAATGACATAACAGTTACCTGCACGATTTCGTAAAATAGGTAACTAATATAATTCCTTTGCTCACAAGGAACAATTATTCATTGAAAAACCTATAAATTGATAAAAACCGTAAATTACTATATGCGGTTAAGTTACAAAAATTACCGGTGCGTAAATAGTTTGACAAACGGATCAAAATAATCGAAACACATACAATTTATCCCGCTTTACAAAATTTGGAAAACCAGCCGGTTTGGCATAGGGAATAAGGTCGATAATTGACAATAAATCACAGTTAGAAAAAAGACTGCATTTATTCAACACAAACAATTTATTGTATTACTGCGCCCGAAATGAAGTATGTTATACAACTGTCATTTTCTAAGTGAAGTGATTGAAAATTACAATTCACAAAGATATTGCGTTTGAAGAATGTTCATTTATTTTCAATATACTTTTACTCGATCTTCAAAGAACTATAGAATGTGAAACTTGGGCGCTCTATAGTTCGGTACACAAAATGTCATGTACATCTTACAGTAAAGGCAATGCCTTTAAAAATTATAAACTATATTATAAATATTTACCTTTTGTTCCCACAGTCATCGGAGGAAGATACGATGGCCATACCGTTCCTTGGACACCCCTTAGTATTTCTAATTGGGCCGCATTGATTCTTTTTGATTTGTTTAAACTGATAATGGCATGCATACTGCTGTTTATAGTTTGAGCTAAGTGTGTTGGCGGGAAAATGCCGTCAAAGAATCGCCTGGCAATGTCTGGTGATACTTTAAAGTTGAGGAAGAAAAATCTGGCGAAGTTTCTCTCTTCTTCTGTAAGTTGTGAAGTCGAAGTCATGATTAAACTGTACTGCCTCTGCGAAACTACTTTGATCCAAAGTCTTCAGTCATGAACTCCGTTTTTCCTCTTTGCCAGGACCAATCACCTGTTAAAAGTGTAAAAAAAATAATATATGTATAACATTCTTTCAGTAAGAAACAATAATGTGTCCATAGTACACGGATACACCACTATCATTTTCTATGTTCAGTGGACAGTGAATTTTGGGTCAAAACTCTAATTTTGCATTAAAATTAGAAAGATCATATCATAGGGAACATGTGTACTAAGTTTCAAGTTGATTGGACTTCAACTTCAACTTCATCAAAAACTACCGTGACCAAAAGCTTTAACCTGAAGAGGAAAAGACGGACGAACGGACGGACGCACAGACTGAAAAACATAATGCCCCCAGGTGGGGCATAAAAAAGCCTGAATTTTTGTTTTGTATGCCATGTATTTATGTCTTCAGCTTATGATTTTGTTTCTTTTTCCTCTTGGTATTTTTCAAAGAAGCGGAAACTGACTGACAGGAACGTCGAAAACACTACTAGTCTCTTCGAGTAAATTCAGAAACAGTGTTTCATTTAAACAGAAATACCGTTATAAATAATTGTAATAAAGAGTGATAAATGGGGGGGATTAGTTGCTAGCTTAGTTTTGGAATGTCAAATAAACACAAATAAAACAATTAGCATTGTTTTAATCGTAGGAACTATAAATCATATTTATATTGAATACATCCCAAAAGGAAGATAACTCTTGAAATAAAAAAGAATCCATATAAAATTAAAGAACCAATATCTCATAAAACCAAAGATTTCCAAAAACTGAATTCATATTTTTCAATTGTACCAGAAACTAAATGAACAAGATTAAATCACTGTCTTTATCTTTGTCAATCACGTTCATAACTATGATGGACCCTGGCTGTGTGAAATAGCTGTACCTAATTGGTTACAATTATTACAAAATCTGTACGGTATGGCAAATTTGTATAATTCGTCAGTGAAATATATTTTGTCCATAAGAATTGTTTAGAACAACACAAAAAAACTTGAATCACAATATCTATCAATGTAATCAGTATTATATATGATATATAAAAAGCTATTAAAAAACAAAAAAAAGTTCCATTCAAAAAATATAAATATTGCTATCAATTTGAAACATTTCGATGTTAAGAACAATAAAACACGTTTTTTCTCTAAGCTCGTTATACTCGCAGTATTTTGCAACTACAGGTCCAACGCTTATTGATTGAAAACGTTTGTATATATGTTCTATTGGTCTGTAATAGAAATTCTTACAGGTCAGGTTGTGATGTAACAAGCTGTGGCTGAGCGTGAAGACTGCTTTCTGCTTTACTAAGAACGCTAGATGAAAATTGCAATGCATTTTCTTTCGTGAAAGTCAAACTGTGACTTAACGAGATGCAGATAGTGTTTTTTTTTCAATTACTTTCTTTGTTTGTTTTTTTTTCAATCAAGATCTTTTTCTTTGAATACTTGAAGTGTGTGTACTTCAACGGAAATGAATAGTTTAATTCACTTCAGACAGAAAAAATATGTATTGGGTGATAAATCTCGAGAGAAAATTACTTGTTTTAGAGTAAGAATACGTTTCATATATTAAGCAAAAAGGCAATCATATGAAGATCAAAATGCAGAGAGGTACAAATAAAATAGAATTTAGGGAATACGCCAATAAAACAGCAATCCAATGTTGAATACACAGACATACACTAAACATCTACTGGTCAGCAAACGGCTTTCGAAAAAAAGACGCTTTTCTATAAGATTAGATAACAGATGCGGAAGGAAACCTTAATTGAAGTTCAAACTTATCTTCAACTTCAAAATTTTTATTAGTCAAATAGTTATACAGACAAATTAAATAGAGCTTTACTAAAATTTTAATTAACATAATGTACACCAAAGCAACGTAAATCAAGACATAATATATTACATTTATTTTTATTTAAATTCACATCGTTTATACCTTTTCTATAAAAACTGATAATCAAACCAAGCACTTTTTTTCACGTACGGATGTTAGGTATATTATGGAGGTATGATCTTCTCCCTCAAATCTCCTACAACTCTATTTTTTATACCCCGCTTTAAAAAAAGTGGGGGTATACTGCTTTACCTCTGTCTGTTCTTCCGTCAGTCCATCCATCCGTCAGTCTATCCGTCAGTCCTTCCGTCCCATGAATATTTTCGTCGCATTTTTCTCAGGAACTACTTTACAAGGATTTCTGAAATTTGGTTTCAGGGTTTATATAAGTCAGTTACACCGTGTGATGCGTTTTCAGATTCATCACTCAACAACTTCCTGTTTACCGAACACTTGTATTATTTTACACATGATAGCCAAGTTGAAAATTTTCGTCACATTTTTCTCAGGAACTACTTGACAAGGATTTCTGAAATTTGGTTTCAGGGTTTATATAAGTCAACTATACCATGTGATGCGTTTTAAGATTCATCACTCAACAACTTCCTCACTGAGCAGTAGCTCACAGTTTTACTTGTTTTTTTTTTTTTTGCATTCACAAATATATGAGCATCCGCAAGGCCAGTTCTACAAATCGGACCAATTCTCTCATTTCTCGTTATATTTCTCAATCTATCAATGGAAAACTTTTTGCTACACTTACATATATTTTAATCGGTATAATTTCAAAGGGTATTGTTACACACATAATTCAAATTTAATATCTGAATAAAATCTTCCCGCATGGCCAGTTGTTTATGTCAGAAAAACCATTTTTCAATTTACTGGTCATGGAGGAGACGCTGCAAACAAAACTTATCGTAGATACCAGGATTAAAATTGTGTACATCAGACTCGCGTTTCGTGTACAAAAGACTCATCATTGACGCTTCAATCATAAAAGTTAAACAGGCAAAATAAAGAACGAGATTGAGGAGCATTGAGGGGCCTAAAATTCCAAAAGTTTTGCCAAATACAGCTAAGGTAATCTATTCCTGGGGTAGAAACTCCTTAGTATTTTGAAGTTTTATCAACAGTTAATCTGTAATTATGATCATATCAATGATAATTCATGTAAATACAGTAATGACAGTAATGCTGAATACTGGGCTGGTGATACTCTCGCGGAGAAGCCTCCACCAGCCGTTGCATCGACCCAGTGGTTGTTAATAAACTCATCATAGATAAAAGTATATATTGATTTTGATAAAATTTGAATTGATGTGTTCAGGAATAATATATATTTCACAAAGGTCACAATCATTAAGTACCAATGTGCCTAAGAATCAGACAATGGTGAAAACAAGACAAACAAAAACCCACTCAGCTTTACATTAATTTAAGTTCAGAATGTATAATGGTGCATGAATATAATTAGTTATCAAAGGTACAAAGATTATTATTTAATACGCCAGACGCGCGTTTCGTCTGCATAAGACTTATCAGTGACGCTCAGATCAAAAAAGTTGAAAAGCATTGATGACCCAAAATTCCCAAAAGTTGTGCCAAAAAGGGCTAAGGTAATCTATTCTTGGGATAAGAAAATCCTTAGTTTTTCGTCAAATTTGAAGTTTTGTCAACAGGAAATTTATTAAAATGACCATATAATTGATATTCATGTCATGGCAGTGGCATCGACCCATTGGTGTAAATAGTTATCAAAGGTACCAGGATTATAATGTAATACGCCAGACGCGCGTTTCGTCTACATAAGACTCATCAGTGACGCTCAGATCAAAATAGTTATAAAGCCAAACAAGTACAAAGTTGAAGAGCATACATTCGTTTCCTTTCCCTGTGCTGGTAATTCAAGATATAATTTTGTTGAAATGCACTAGTATAAACAATTACGGGGAGATAACTCCGTATTTTGCTAATATTCTAACCAAACTTTTTCTAAATATTTCTCGAATTACAAAACGCAGAAACGAAATAAATACAATTTCTTACTCAGGATGGGGGTACCATTTAAAATAGGGTGGTTAGGTTGGTGGGTTTTTGCGGCCATGTTTTGAATTTTTTCTAATTTGCCCGATTCTTACAAAGACTGGCACTTAAACACAAATCGTATACCGTTTCGGTTTTAATACATCATCGGCTTTCAAGTATTTGGCTTTGACCGTTCCTGATGAAGGTAAATCCAGAAAAGCGCTTCGGACGCATACAATTATTTAATGTGTTGTTTTCATTATATACATATATATATATAAACCACTTAAAATTACAACCTTCATTCTCGTTCATGTGTCGTAGTAACCTGTACGATGTAGTTCAAGTGGATACCAAGAAAATAAGGCGGGTTTGTATCAATACGGAAATATTTGTGTTCTTGTTATGCTAAAATCGATATAAATTATACATTTAATGTGTGTATTCTCCATACATCATGAACATAGTATCAGTGTTTTGAATTTTTTCTTCTTCTTTTAAATCTTAACTTCTAATAATTTGCTATCTGCAGGATGGTTTCTGGATTTGCCGACGATCTTTTGGTCGGTTTTGACAGTCTGATACATATTTAATTTATTTTCTTTGGTTTAATGGGATGGGTGTTTGTTGTTTATCAGAAGCATATTTGTTAAGATTATCGAATCATAATGATATGTCTGGCTAAAGCATATAGTTCTATATTATGCAGTCCAACTTATCCTTAATTTTCATTCCTAACCCATCACATTTTATGGACAATTTTGGTTAAGCACTATTTAAGTCAAAACATTTGCGGTAAAGCTCCGTTAATTCCAGAATAATTTCCTGTATATGTAGACTGTATATGAAAAAAAAAATTAAACAAAAATCATTTACGTACCTACCTATCCACCAAGAGGTAGTATTATCATATGTTGGGCCTCAATAAAATAGTGATGTACGAAGAAAAGATGTTTACCTTAGGATAAATAGATAAATATATATATATATATAGACACGTATATATTACCTTAATCAGCTGAATTCATGATCCCCAAGAATGACAAGAAGCACAAATTGTACAAAGACTGCTATTTGTGTCCATGTGAACAACAGCTGTTACATGAATAAGGAAATTATCCCCGGATGTGACACTAGTCAGTATATAGCAATGTGTTATATGTTGTTCATGTCAT